ATTGGCAAACAATCGCTTCAATCTTGGAATAATTGGAAGATACCATATAAATTTTGCAGGAGGTCTCTTTCTATCAATACATTCGCTATTATCATCCTTGTCTTTCAATTTGTAACGCGATACACCACATCTTGGACACTCATGTAGGCTTTCAAACTCTTTTCTGTATAATACACAATCATTAGGGCAAGCATGTATCTTTTTATACTGTAAACCCATTGGACAAAGTATTTTTTTGGCTTCATACATACGATCAGGCAAGGTGTTATCGCTTGGGAGCATATCTTTCAAAACTTCTAGTAACTTAGTGAAACTTTTATCACTCCAACCAAATTTGGCCTTCAAATTGACCAATCTCAATACAGCTGACAATCGCGTGAATGTTGTACATCCAGCATATAGAGGTATCTCTGAATCTATCTTCAATTTATCATAGACAGCAGCATGTGCTTGCAGAAAATTCTCTTGACCTACATCACGAATCATGTCTTCTATTCGATCTTCCATTGTCATATCCTCCTCTTCCTCAGCTTGTGTTACTATTGGTGTATCAATCACTTCACCATGCCATGTCCATAGGATATAATTCTTCATTATCCCATCACATAAAAGATGTTCCCGTATTGTCTCTAGTGTGTGTACTCTCCCATTAACGCAGTTAACGCATGGACAATACAATTTTCCATTAACCTTGGTGCCATTGTGTTCGGCAAATCGCAAAAATTCTTCAACTCCATTCTCATACTCTTGTGAAATACGACTTGCATTTACCCAACTTCGATCCATTTTGGAATTGGAGTCTACAAATGAGAAACCCATAAAACGATTAATACTAATAATCGTTATCTCTAATGAAATCTATACCAAAGTAGATTAATTTGTAACGAAATTTCAACAGAATTTCGTCTATTTTTTGGTCAAAACCAAATTTGTATAAATTGAAATTATAGAGTTTTCATTGTTACTACCATCACTTATATAACTACATTGTTATATGTAGTTTTCAGAATTCACACTTCATGATTAATTTCTAACAAAAATCCGGCAGAGTTTCCTTTGTTTTTTGGCAACAATTTTAAATGACACAGTGAAACTGACAATAAAAAGCCCCACTGGGCATATTCAAGCAGTTCAAGTATAATTGTACACATCATCAATACATTGAAAAAAACTATAATATGACTAAGAATTGAATCAACAGTTAACGGCAAATGACTAACAATCTCTACCTATGAAATGTAGTAAGTAAAATTGTATGACTTTGCCCAACAAATATAAGTGCAACAACATCGTACCTGTGGTTTAAGGCAGCGATGAAGGTTCGCACCACGGAGAAACAGAGCAGCTGCTGACCTGGGGTGGAGGTGGAGGATGCAATGCGGCGTTAGGTGAGGCTGGGACAATGCAATATGGGTGGAGGCTGCGGTGGGGGTGGAGGGTGGGCGACTAGCGTCGCGGTGGGGTGGAAGCTGCAGTGGGGTGGAGGTGCTGCGGCGGGGGTGTCACGCGGTGCGCAGTGGCGACGTGAGGGAGGGCGTCCGGAGAGTCCAAATGACGGTGGTAGGTGGTGGCCGCGATGCTGGAGAGTAAGGGGAGATACAAAAATGGTAGCCTATTCAAATGGGAAAACGGGGTTTCGACGTCGGTTATACCCACACCCGACGTTGAAACTCGATTTATCTCCAGTCATATGTTTTAATCGATTGAAACGAGATTTAATCGATTAAAATAGTTCTGATCGGTCATAACTGGATTCTGATCGATCATCCTGACCCTTTAAGAGATTTTAATCGATTGAAACGTGTTTCTAATCGATTGAAAAAATTCTGATCGCTCATAATTAAAATCTGATCGATCACATTTGATTCTGATCGGTCATATTTGTATTCTGATCGGTCATAATGAGTTCAGAAGGGTTTTCAACGTCGGGTGAGGGCATAACCGACGTCGAAAGCCTACTTTCCACGTCGTGCATGCTAAAACGACGTAGAATGTGTCAAAAATTCGACTTTCGACGTCGGTTGTTGACCAACCGACGTTGAAAGCATGTTCAACGTCGGCTAAGATGTAACCGACGTTAAACAGCGATGTTGAAAGTATATTTTCTAGTAGTGCAAGTTATTCAATGATGGTTGGTGGATCGAGTAAAAACAATAAAAATTCGATCTTCACCCATTCGATATTTTTTTTATTTGACTGGATAATGTGTTTAGTCAAATCTAACCTAATCCAACCATTAACTCAATGTATCTTCAATTTATTAATTGAATATATTCTTACCTAATTATTTTATTAATATTTACTATAAATTAAATTTTCTATTTATTTCATTCTTTTTTACTTGATTTTAAATAGTTAAGTGAGCCACCACATTAAAATATTCTTTTGAATTAAATATTGTTATATTATCTTAAATTTTGTTAATAAGAAATAAATATTAATCTATAATTACTTAATGAATATATGTTAATGTATTAAATGTTTAATTAAAAAAATATCAATTTATTAATTATTTAACTAATACATTTTAATCTAGAAGTTGCCTAATAAATAAATTTTAATTAATTAATTAATTAATATAATGTCTGAAAATTTTAATTATTAAACAATAATTAATTAATTATTATTAATTTAATTAATAAATATTAATATATTAGTTATTTATTTAATAAATATTAATATATTATTTTATAATAAGTATTAATCTGATCAATTTTTAATTAATAAGTATTAATTTACTAGTTATTTTATTAATAAACTTTAATCTATTAATTATATATTTAATAAATATGAAAATATGAATTAATAAATATTTCACCTGAACAAAAATGTTTCATAGAAATGCAATGTGACTTTGTAGTAGTCTCATTGAATCGAAGAGATATTTTGGTAAAAAAAATAAAAAACTTTGTTCAAACAAAAACACCTAAAAAAAATGAAAAATCTAAAAGAGATTGTAAATAATATAAATTGTGATTCTTTATATAATTCACATTCTTTCCAAATACTTTATAAATATTTTGCAATTTGTTTAATGTTACTATCCGTAAGGGATTATATTTTGAAAATAATAAATAAAATAAATTTTTAAATTGATAAAAAATATCCCGTAATAATAAATTATTTTCTGATTAATAATAATATATAAAGAAAATGCTATATATATATATATATATATATATATATATATATATATATATATATATATATATGAAGTATTTAACGCGTTCACGTATTATACTATTTGGAGAATAGTGATAACTAAGGGATAAAATATGTATTCAAATTATATTAATTTTATACTATTTTATTATTTGTTCACATTTTTAACGTAATTTCTCACTACAGTTACTTACGAAATTAATTTGAAAAAAAAAACATATATTTATTCAATTTTTCATAACTAATTTTAAGTTTTTTATTATATTATCTATTATTAGTTTTATTTACTACATAAAAATAGATATGACAACAAGACGAGTGGAAAAATTCAAACCCGTTTCTATTTTCTGTCAACTTAATTTTTTTTCATAAAATTTTGAGGGGAAATGAGTCGATTTCAGATACGGATTTAAAGGTTATCCTATATAAAAGAACGATATAATTTCTTTTTAACCGTTGGATTTAAAAACTGGCTTTTTATTTATTTGTGGTTTCTAAATTTAAAGATGGATTACGTTTCAAATATTAATTTCCCAAATGCATTTAATATGCTTACCATAAATGAGTGCATAAAACGAGTTCCCAATATTTGTTTTGAATGCATTCGATATGTTCGTAAAATTAATTTATAAGATGCATTTAAGAATGATTATTACATACAAACAGGTAATGTTTAAAAATATATCACGATGACTTAGGTTATTTAAAAGAGTGGTGATATTTTGACAACCAGAAACCATAGAACCCTTCAACTAACTCATTTTTATTAATATAATAATCTATATAATGATTTAATAAAAATAAATAAAAACTATTATTATAATATTAAAAAAGAGTTATTCACTAGAGTTGTATAGATTTGAGTTGTCAAAGTATCATTTTCTAATTTCTTAAATGCAAATTTTCATTAGCTCTCTTGCAAAAATTGTCACTTTTAAATATAACGAACTAAATTTCTTTTTCTTGTATAGGAAAAACAAAATTAAAAGATGTAAATAAATCCATTGGTAAAAGAATCACATAAAATTTACTTGAAACGAGAGTTGTTTCATTTAAGGTGATGTTATATGTTGGTAACATTGCTTAAAATTTTCATGGTAATTAATACTCAATATATTTAATTCAAGGTGGCAATTTTTTTCCATTTTTCCAAAAATAAAAATAAAAATTCGTGACTATAACATTTTTATTGAATTTTGTGACGGATTTTTTCAAAACAAATTTTCATCATTTTAGTGAAAGTCCATCACAAGTTAAAAATCGGTCACAAAAACAATTTTTTAGTAGTTTAATAGTGATACTTTTATAACTTAATTCAATCACGTAAATAAGTAAATAATTTTTAATAAATGAATAAAATTCATTCTTAGTGCATATATTAAATAAAATAGGTGAATATAAATTACCTGAACTACATGACTAAAATTTTACAAATCAAAAGCAAATATAGGCAGGTAGAAAAAAATAATTTAATTCATTGGGCATATTCAAAACAATAATTAGATAAGAACATATTTATTCTATAAATTAAAGATATATATGTTCTTAAATTATTATACTTTGTAGAAACTTTCTTTCAAGATTTGATTCTATGTAATAAAGAGGTACTATGCTTGTATATATATAAACCTGATAATACAGAAAACACGACCAAAATTAGGATCATCATTACTATTTTTTCTGTTTTTCGAAAAACATCTTCTTTCAGATCTCTTCTCCCCTTCTTTGTTTCTTCATTTTCGGATCTGCAATTTTTCTCTCGACAATTAAAGTTCGCACCTTGTGCAAAGTAGGGATCCTCGACTTCCTCCCTTTTTTGTGTGCATCTCATCACATGAATGTCTTCTTCTCAGTATCCTTCAGTTCTCCCTCAAGAACTCCTCGTAGAAATTTTGTCAAGGGTTCCAGTGAAGGATCTCATGCGATTCAGGTGCATTTCAACATGGTGGAACCACCTCGTCTTCGATCCTTCATTTGTTAAACTGCACCTTCAAAGGTCTTCCAGAGACACTCACATTCTATTAACCTTCAGAGACTACGAGAACGATGAAAGCAGGTATTGTGCCGCACCGTGTTCCACACAAAATTTAATTCACAACCCATCATCCACCATTGATGTGTGCCACCGATTCAACCACGATTGCACTATCTTGGGTGTATGCAACGGCTTGGTTTGCTTGCAAGATTCTTACCGTGGAGATGAATTTGAAGAATACTGGGTCCGGTTTTGGAATCCATCCACAAGGGTCATGTCAGATGATTCTCCACACATACGTATTCGTTCCAGTCATTATAAGTACCCTTATTTGTTCATGTTTGGGTTTGGCTACGACGATTGGAGTGGCACTTACCAAGTTGTGTTTTTGGATAATAAATCACAGAAAATGGAGGTGAGGGTTTATTCTTTAGGTGAAACTTGTTGGAGAAATATTTTAACTTGTGATGCTTTTCCCACTTTGAGTGTCCATGGGGCTTACGTATGTGGCAGTGTAAACTGGTTAGCACTTCCCAGATCCAGTTCTCGTTATCGATGGGAAACTGTTACCATCAACGAGTTAGAAATTTTTTCTTACGATCTGAACAACGAGAGATGCAGTTATTTGTCTATGCCTGATGGTCTTTCTGAAGTTCCTCCTGATGTGCCTGTGCTTGAGGTTTTGAAGGGTTGTTTGTGTCTTTCTCATCATCAAGGGACTCATTTTGTTGTGTGGTTAATGAGGGAATTCGGAGCTGCAAAATCTTGGACACTGTTGCTGAATGTAAATTATGAGGATCTTCGTATTCGTGTTCTTCATGGCTTACCAACTCTTCCAGTGATTTTGTGTTGGTCTGAGAATGATAATGTTGTGCTGCTTGCAAGCTACGACAGTGCTGAATTTATTCTATACAATATGAGAGATAATAGAATAGAACACCATGAACTTTTCAATGACGACAAGTTTTATTTTTTCTCGTATGATTATGTTGAGAGCTTGGTTTTGCCACGTCTGAATTAAACTGTCTTGTGTTTTCTTAAATGGGTTTATGTTAAATTGTGTAAGAGGTTTCAAAAGTTCATCATTCGATGTGGATATAGAATATCAATCTTAAATAACAGCTCTTTGAATTACAGGCTTATAAAGCTTATTAATTTTCTTTGATTTTGGTTTTACTTTACTGCATTCTGTTTTATGTATAACGTAATTTCAGAAAATTTTAAAAGTGTTGATGCAATTTATTCTACTCGAGTTAACACCATTTACAACAAAAGGATGCAACTATAATGTAACAAGGTTGCAAAAAGACAATGAGTTTTGGATAGCATAAAAAAGAAGGAGTGCATGTGTAATTAATTTTATTTTATTTTTAATTTGGTCTATATTCTATTTGAAATTGGATAGTTAAGATTATAAAACTAAATTAAAAATATATTAATTTTAATTATTTGTGTTTGAAACTTCCAACTTTTAAAAAACATTACAAATATTTTATTCAAACTTAGAATTGTTTTAACCAAATAGTTAATTAAAAAAAATTTAAAATGATTTTTTTTAAAATATTCAACTTTTAAAAAATTATAAATATTTATTAATTAGCATTTAGGGTCCGTTCAATTAAAAATAGAATAAAAAAATATGCATTTTATTCTGAGAAGATTGATACGAAAAAGAAGAAGGAACATAATCATTTAAAATAATAATAAAATATTAAAACTAAGTATTTATATAACTGCTCATATATTTGTTAATTATTTTTTATAAATAAAATAAAATTTCAAATAATTAAAAACTTTTTTCAATAATATATATATATATATATATATATCATAAGAGTTATATTTTTTCTAAAAATATTTAAATTAATATTAATAGAATAATATATTATTATAAAATATAATAAATTATTCATTTAATTTTTATATTTAACGTATCTTATGAAAATAACATAATTACAAGTCTCTCTCAATTACATAAAAAAATATCCTTTTGTATGGAAAGGATAAAATAAATTTTTTTGCTTTTTTTCTCATAAAAAATATAAAACATTATAAATTAGAGTGGAGAGTCATTAATTTGTTTCTATTATGAAAAAAATATATTTATTACATTGATTACTTTTTACCTTTCACACAGATGAAAAGACCTTTAATGATTTAACGTTACTAAAACTTTTTTAAAAATTAAACTAAAAAAAGTTATAATTGTTTTATTACAACTACAAATAGTGTAGAAAAAACTCAAATGTTAATATTACTATTGTGAAATTTAACTCTTTTTTTCTTTAGAAATTAGAGGTAAATTATAAATTTCATATTTAATAATTTTAAATTGAATTAAATTTTTTTATTTTTTGAAAATTTAAACCACAAAGTTGTTGCAAATACTTTATGGAAACTAGGAATTGTTAAATCATTTAATTAAATTAAAATTTAATAACTTTAATTACTTAAACGTTGTTGTAAATTCTTTTACAAAATTTTAAACTTAAAAAAAAATTGTTATAAATGATTTTTTTTACTATGAACTGTTGATATTATATTATTATACTAAAAATCGTTAATTTAATTATTTAAATTTAATATATATATATATATATATATATATATATATATATATTTAAATTCCTCAATTTTGATAATTTATATTTTATGTTAAATCAGTCATTTTAAATTTACTAATTTAATTATAACAATTGTTATAAATGTATTATTAAATGCATTACCAAACTTTAATTAATTAAATTTATTATATCTTATTTTATAAAGAAAATTTCTAAACGCGTTATTAAATTTCAATTAATGAAATTTATTAAATCTTTATTTTAAAAAATTGTTTTAAATTCCTTATTAAACAACTAGTTAATTTTATTTCTATACTAATACATGGAAATTAAATATATTTTTTTAGGGTTTTGACTAAAATAATATCATTCTTTTTATTAAGAGTCGTGATATTTTCACATTGCCTAAAAAATATATCTACTACATAATCTTATTATTATTATATATTATATTTATAAAGTTATTAATTTAAATAAAATTAATTAAAAATTAAAATAAAATTTAATAAAAAATAAATTAAATTAAATTAAAATTATTATTTTATTAATAAATTGATAGGTTATTTGATAAGATTGAGATGAATATCAATCATTTTTCTTACATTAAATCTTCTTCTGAGATAAATTTGGATCGAAGTTTGAATTATTATTTTTTCAATATTGAAACTCTATAATAATATATTAATTTATTTATTTATAATAATAAGAATTTGCGTATTTATAGTCTCTCTCTTTTTTTTTTCAATATAGAACGCATGTAACAGATCTCGATCACTTTTCTCTCCTTGTTTCTTCATTCTCCACAAATTGCAGTTTTTCTCAGCAGTTAAAAATCGCACCTTTGTGTAAATCAGGGTTTCCCTTTTACATGAATGTCTTCCTCTCAGAATTGTTCGGTTCTCCCACAAGATGTGCTCTTTGAAATTTTGTCGCGGGTTCCAGTAAAGGATCTCATGCGATTCAAGTGCGTTTCGAAATGGTGGAATCATCTCGTCTCTGATCCTACATTTGTGAAATTGCACCTTCAAAGGTCCTCGAAAAACACTCACATCCTATTAACCTTCCAAGGTATCATCAACCAGAAATTTGAACTCAGGCTTTACGCCTTACCATGCTCCGTACAAAAATTGGTTGGCAACCCATCAGCCACCGTTAAATCTTCCCGTTCCCACCGATTCAAACTCGATTACGCTGTCTTGGGCGTCTGCAACGGCTTGGTTTCCTTAAAAGATTCGTACATTGGAGATGAATTTAGTGATCACTGGGTCCGGTTTTGGAATCCGTCCACAAGAATCATGTCTGAAGATTCGCCACGTATTCGTCTTCATCACGGCGATTATAAAGGCCCTTTATTGTATAAGTTTGGGTTTGGATACGATGATCGGAGTGAGAGTTATAAAGTTGTTGTTTTGGATTATAAATCAGAGAAAATGGAGGTGAGAGTTCATTGCTTAGGCGACAATTGTTGGAGAAATACTTTAACTTGTGATGTTTTTCCCATTCCTGCGGTTTGTCGTGGAGCTGCTTGTGTGAGTGGCACTATGAACTGGTTAGGACTTGCCAAATCCAGTTCCGGTTATCAAAAACAGGAACTTATCACAGTGAAAGATTTAGAAATTTTTTCTTACGATCTAAAGAACGAGACATGTAGCTATTTGTCTGTGCCTGATGGTCTTTCTGTTGCTGAGGTCCATTTTGCTCAGCCTGCGCTTGAGGTTTTCAAGGGTTGTTTGTGTCTTTCTCATCAACATGAGGGTCAATTTGATGTTTGGCTAAGGAGGGAGTTTAGTGATGAAAAATCTTGGTTTAAGTTTTTGAATTTAAGTCACGGAAGCCCTGAATTTAGCATTTGTGGCTTTTCAATTTACATAGCGGTTTTGTGTGTGTCTGAGAATGATGACTTTGTGCTGCTTGCAAACCAAAGTGATTCAGAATTTATTCTGTTCAATAGGACAGATAATAGAATAGAGCGTCGTTATAATTTCAAAAGTGCCAATTCCTATTTCTACTCTAATGATTATGTTGAGAGCTTGGTTTTGCCGTATAGGAATTAAGCTGCCTTATGTTTTCTCATGAGTTTATGATAAAATGTGAAAAGTTGTTGAAAAACGTTTCTCCTTGTCAAGTTAAGGATGATATGAAGTAATATAACCTTGGTGGCGGTGGTGTGATGCATTTGGGTCCAAAGAAACAGTGTGGTGTACCTGCATGAACGAGTAGATGCAGAGGAAACTTTTGTCAGCTTGGACTTGGATTGCATCTAGAGTTAAAGATGTTAGTTTTTGTTATCCTGATTGGTGCAGCAGTGTGGCTGGAAGGAGGATTTAAGTTTACTACTACAAGGGTATGGAGGCTGCAATGATGTGGTTAATCTCATAGGGTTCTGCAGGTTAACCAAGTAACATCTCTGCTATGATTTCACTCCCAATTTACATTTCTTTTATCAAGTTATTAATCTGCTATCTCACCTTAAATAACTGTGTTGTTTTTCATGCCATGTGAATATACATGGTGTTATCGTCAATTAATCATGTTTGCTACTAGGATTGTTGTAGACTGTCATTTTCTTCTTTATATTATTGGGAGCAGAGTTGAACCTAGTTAATTTTCTTTCATTTTGGTTTTACTATGCTGCAGTTTTTGTTGATGTCTCATTCCCCCTAAGAATTCTTGAACTTTTTCTTCTGTAAGTTTTGTGGCAAAACTTTGCAAAAAAGGCGTAGATGTAGAATATCTCTAATTTACCTGTTTTGTACACTAAGTTACATAAACCAATTGCTTTAATATCATTTATATTATTTTATGTCTTAATTTTTATGAATTAAGACTATGACACTTTTAAGCATTTTAGGGTATATCATGTAAGATAAGAATGTATTATCTATAATTTTTCATGAATCTATTCAGATGATATATCAATATTGTTTTAAAAAATGGGTTGAAATTACTTTAAAATCTTAACAAATTTCATGTTCATAATCGATATAAAATCTCTTCTACAATAACCAGAGCTGAAAGGGTTAGTTTAACCTCGTTAATAAGTGAGGGATAGGCTTGAGAATGATGAGTAAAAAATAGAGATATCATAAGTGAAAAAAAATTATAATATATTTCAAACTCAATAAAATAATCAATTTTTCAATTTAAACTATGAATTAGGAAAAAGAAAAGTTACTTTAAAAAACAAAAAATTATTGATTCTCCGAATCGAACTCTTTTTACCCTTACAAACCAGGTTTTCAAATTTCTCATCTTTAACCTTTTTAATTTTAGGAATGTAATAAGGTTGAATTATTAACACATGACTAATGATAAAATGGTTCTAAATATAATAATTTTTAAAAATAATGATAAGGTTGAATTTTTAATTATTTGAACAGTAAAATTTTTATCTAATAAGTATTTTGTTAAAATAATTTTTAAAAACTAAATTTTATTTTTTAATTTTTAAAAGCTTAAAAATTAAAAATATTTAATGGTATTTGTTTTTATTTTTCTGATTTTTTTAATGGTACAATTTTATAAAACATAAAATTAGTAAAATTATCTTTTAACTTTTGTTGTATTATAAATAGTAGTTGATAACTTTGTTACTTTGTATTTAAATTAATATGTATTTTTTATAATCATCTTAGTGTAATTGGAAAGAAAAAAAAATCCTAATATAAGTAAAAAAAAACATATAACAAGTAGACAAAAAATATGATATATATATATATATATATATATATATATATATATATATATATATATATATATATAAAGATTTCTCTTTTTTAACAGTTTATTTTTCATAAGAGAGAAAAACAAAGGTTATTAATATAATGTATATTATGATTTATAAAAAGAGAGATAATATAGAAAAAATAATTATTATAATTTATACATTTAAAAAATTAGGAGAAAGAAAAGGGAAAAAAAGTGTGATAGAATGAAACAAGTGAAAAAAATAAAAAGTGGATACATCTAAAAATAGCAAGAAAAAAAAATAAAATTTAAAAAATAGTTAAAATAAATTAATAATATAGAAATTGTTAACACACACTTCAGCGTTTATTTAGCATGTGTTTCTACTAATTATATAAAAAAAGAGATTATCTTCTTTTTATAATCACTTTTGATGGTGTCATCACAAAGTAAAAAAAATCATGTATAATAAGTGAAAAAAGAACATCAATATATTTAAACAATCAAGAGAAAAATAATAAATTAAAGAATATGATTAATGTTGTAGATAAACACGGCAAGAGCTAAATAAGTTTAATGAAATTAAGAAATTTGACCTATACTAATTGTGTGAAAACTAATCACATTTGACAAGTTATGAAACTAAAATAGGAACAAGAAACAAACCAAGTGCATAAGTATTTTGTCTCAAAATTGCATAAAATTTAAGAATGATTCATATAACTCTTACAAAGAGATCAAAATTCATAATAGAACTCAATATAAGTATACAGATATTGCAGATAGTGAAAAGGTAAAACCTAATATAATGTTTAAATTATGGCCGTGCTGGCTTGTTTATCACTAATCAATCTGGATACCAGACATAGGCACTTCAGTGTTGACTTGTTCATCATCATCCTCACTCTGGCTATCTTCAGCATCCATTGAGGCTTCTTTTTTAAAGTAATCAGTTTTGAAATCATAATCATCATCCATGGAATCCGAAGAGGCTAAAGCTTTTTTAGCCTTTTTTCTTTTCTTCTTCTCTGCTCGCTTCAGTTTTGTATTAAGCATACCGTCCGCAGTATATAACTTTTCATTTTGCCTACTGGCCGCACTGCTGCTATCCTTGTTCTCCCCAACATCATCATCTTCCATGGATTCATCCACATCAGCCACCTTTCCGGGACCTTCGCCTTGGTCAGCTGACTTCATTTGTGTGTCGTCCTACATGAAGATGTTTTAATTATTAAGTCTGAAATACTAAAATTTCAAGCATATGACCGATATCAACAATAGTCAAATCCTTAGGCATCTTCCCATGTTTAAGCGGTTTCAAGAAACAAACCTCCAACATTGTCTCAGCAAGATTAAGAGGGTGACTTGAAGGTACTTCAACAGCATTGAAGTCATCAACAGATTTAAGGCTCCCAATAAATGAAGATTCATGGTCGTAGACTTCATCAATGTTAAACTCTTTCGCAAATTCAGAAACTATCTTCACATCTGAAGGTTCCCCTTGATCCCTATTTGGAGGCATGGTATAATACTGAATTTTACCTGAAACATACAAACAGAAATAGAAATTTGTGTTCAGTTCTTTCTCATTTTTAACTTCAACACAAAAAGTTTCAATTTCTCTGTTTACGATTTAGAAACTCCATGTATGCATACCCTCATTCCAATCATGAAGAACGATTCTTGCAGCAGCATCGACGTCAACTATTCCACCCTTCTTGAGTTTGCCCCTAACTGTAGCTACCTTCCGCAGAAAATCATCAGCATCACCTAAATTGAAACTGGGAATTTTGTACAGAGTTACCAGCTGCTCAGGCAGACAGAGCTTGAGAATTTCCTTAACTGCATTCAAGTTAAGAAAAAATAAACGAAAAACAAAGTCAGCCAATTTATTTAATAAGAGTGTACAGCCTAAATCAGAATGTTCAATTAATGCAATAATTGTATTAATAATTCTACGTTTTTATAGAAATTTGAATTGTCATCACTAATTTAAGCATTAATTTGTATCCAAGAAAATGTAAAACAACTAAAGTTATATTTTATTAAAACAAGTAAAATAACATTTTCTTCATGTCTATTCTCCACACAAGAAGAAGCCTCTTCTGCTCTAAAAATAACAAGAATGCATAATAAGAAGTAAATGAATGAGATGTTCTGTGTGGGAAAAAAAAATTGTAGTAAATACATAAGGATCTGGAAATTTGACGGTCAGTCACTTGGGTTGGATAAAAGGGACTATATCAGTATTCAAGATGCTGGAGGAAGGACATAAGTTGTAAAAATTTGAATTTACAAATGAAAGTCTTTTTATTGAGAAAATGGCGGAATAGAGGATACGAGATTCACACCAAAGATGTTAAATCAATGAACATTGAGCTAATAGAACCTCTGCCTAAAAACTGACATAACATAGAAAGTTTAAGGACAAAGTGCGACTCTTAGATATGCAGCCACTAATCAAACCAAATGCACCAAAAATAGCAAAAGCTGCAAACTGCTGTAAAATTGAATAGTATTTCTTCAATTTAACAAGCTCATTTTCTTTTGCTATTTTTTTACGTAAAATTTCCATAAAGCTTCTACCATACATTTTTAATTGCATTAATGATGTGAACATGACTTATGATAAGGGCTAGAACAAGGGAAATAAAAGAAGTTCTTCAACAAATATTGTTAGTTGACCAAATTATGTTTTGAATTAATCAATTAATGAGCTTTAGTTTGATTTTGTTTTAAGTTGTAATAAAGGCCCAATTGAAAATTTAGTCATCAGCCTTTGGGAGACTAAGGGGTGCATAGCTGATTGACTTTTGGTTGCCACAATAAGTCATTAAGTTGGTTCAATTCCTAGGTTAATGGATCATTATTAGCCTTTATTCGTTTCCATTAATTAGTTTTCAATTCCTAGATTAATGGGTTATTATTAGTATTTATTTTCTTTTATTGAGTCTTTTGTATTTCTGATGGCAATTTATCAAGAAATAACAAGTGGAATTTTATTTAGAAATATTAGAGTTTATCTCTTTTATCTTAGTGAGAGTGATTCTCCTAAATTCTTGAGTGATTCAAGAACATTTGGCTGTATCAAAGGACTGTCACATCCTTTGTGTGTTGCCTCCCTTGGGAAGAGTGATTCTTTCCTTCCACCTTCTTTCTAATTCCTAAATTTCTTACAAGGTTTTAACCCTAAAGATCCTAAATTACCCCTTGTGATTCATATCAGTTGGTATTCAGAGCCCCGGTTTAAGGGTTTAAACATCAAATTGATGGCAGAAGAGGAAAATTACAATCAAGAAGCAGGAATTAGTCCATTTCAAATGAGAGTATTGGTACAACATTTGGAAAGATTAATGACACGACATAACAATGAGCTCCATGAAAGATTGAACCGGTTGGAGAATAGAAATCTTGAAGACGAAGAAGAAAGGAGAAATAGGAGAATGAATTATGAAGTAGCAAGACCAAGTAGGCTTGAAGGAGTCAAGCTTAACATTTCTCCGTTCAAAGGAAAAAGTGATCCAGAGGCATACTTGGGGTGGGAGTTGAAAATAGAGCATGTTTTCTCATGCAACAATTATGAGGAGACCCAAAAGGTAAGACTTGCAACAACGGAATTTTCTGACTATGCTCTTGTTTGGTGGAACAAGCTACAAAAGGAGAGAGATAGAAATGAAGAGTCAATGGTTGATACATGGACTGAGATGAAAAGGATCATGAGGAAGCAGTATGTGCCGGCTAGTTATGCAAGGGACTTGAAATTTAAACTCCAAAAACTTACTCAAGGCAACAAGGGGGTTGAGGAGTATTTCAAAGAAATGGACATGCTCATGATTCAAGCAAAGATTGAAGAAGATGAAGAGGTAACTATGGCTCGATTTATTGGTGGTTTGAATATTGATATATGTGATATTGTTGAGTTGCAGGAGTTTGTTGATATGGAGGATTTACTTCATAAAGCAATTCGAGTGGAGCAACAACTCAAAAGAAAAGAAATGACTAAGAAGAGTTCTTCCAACTTTGGATTTTCAAGTTGGAAGGACAAAGGCAAGAAAGATGAGACTGTTACTTTTAGTAGTTCCACACCTATTCCTACAAAGACTGATTCAAAATATGAAGAACAACCCTCTAAAAAAAGTAGAGATGTGAAGTGTTTCAAGTGTCAAGGCCTAGGACACTATGCTTATGAGTGCCCTAACACAAAGACCATGGTTCTTAGAGAGGGAGAATATACAAGGGAATCTGAGGTTAAAGAGGAAGAAAAGAGTTAAGACATTGAGAAGGAAGAGATTCCAAAGGGAGATTTATTGATGATTAGGCAATTACTTAATAGTCAATTGAAACCTATAGAAGAAAGCCAAAGAAAACATATTTTTCACACTAGATGTTTAATCAATGACAAGATGTGCATGATGATCATAGATGGAGGTAGTTGCACCAATGTGGCTAGTGCTAAATTAGTATCAAAGCTAAATTTAGCTACCAAACTACATCCTAGGCCATATAAACTTCAATGGCTTAGTAAGGATGGAGAGGTGCAAGTGAGACAACAAGTTGAAGTAGACATTTCCATTGGAAAATACAATGATAAAGTGTTTTGTGATATTATTCCTATGGAAGTCAGTCACTTACTTTTTGAGAGACCATGGCAATTTGATAAAAGAGTTAATCATAACGGGTTCACCAACAAGATTTCTTTCATGCACCAAGATAAGAAGATTGTGCTCAAACCTTTGAGTCCACAAGAAGTGTGTGAGGATAAAAAAAAATGAGAGAAAAACTTCTTAAAGAAAAGAGAGAGAAAGAAAGCGTTAGTGAAACACTTGAGAGGAAAAAGAGTGATCAAAAGAAGAGTGAAACACTTGAAGTGAGGGAGAATTATTTAGCTATAAAAAGTGAGTATAATGTTAATTTTACATTCAATTTGTCAGACTTATCTCTTTTTTATATAGATGACGAATCTGATTTGAGGACAAATCCTTTTCAAGAGGGAGAGAATAATGTGAACATGACCTATGATAAGGGTTAGAGCAAGGGAAATAAAAGAAGTTCTTCAACAAATATTGTTGGTTGACCAAATTATGTTTTGAATTAATCAATTAATGGGCTTTAGTTTGATTTTGTTTTAAGTTGTAATAAGGGCCTAATTGAAAATTTAGTCATCAACCTTTGGGAGACCAAGGGGTGCATAGCTGATTGACTTTTGGTTGCCACAGTTTCAGATACAATAAGTCATTAAGTAGTTTCAATTCCTAGGTTAATGGATCATTATTAACTTTTATTTGTTTCCATTAAATAGTTTTCAATTCCTAGATTAATGGGTTATTATTAGTATTTATTTTCTTTTATTGAGTCTTTTGTAATTCTGATGGCAACGCTTCTATATCAGCTGAACCATTTTTATCAAGAAATAACAAGTGGAATTTTATTCAGAAATATTAGAGTTTATCTCTTTTATCTTAGTGAGAGTGATTCTCCTAAATTCTTGAGTGATTCAAGAACCCTTGACTGTATCAAAGAACTGTCACATCCTTTGTGTGTTGACTCCCTTGGGAAGAGTGATTCTTTCCTTCCACCTTCTTTCTAATTCCTAAATTTCTTACAAGGTTTTAACCCTAAAGATCCTAAATTACCCCTTGTGATTCATATCAATTAATGAAATATAAAGACCGGAATAACCAGACAATAAGGGGGGAAATGACTTTGCATACCTGGGCTAATTGGATCATCTAACTTCTCAATCCTCTTGCAATTTTTTAAAGCAATGGAAGCATCATTTTCTTGAGACTTCAGCATAACAACACCAGGGCAATCCAGCAACTTAACATTTTTGTCCAACTGAACCTCTTGCATTGATCTTGTTAACCCAGGAGTAGAACCAACATTGACAACATGACATCTCTTTAAGCTATTAATAAGACTACTCTTTCCAACATTGGGCAAGCCAATCAAACCGACAGTGATGGACTTTTTGATCTGTCAAGACAAGGAAGCAAAATAACAAAAACAATGAATGGTCTAAAATTCAAACACAAATACAGATATAACATAATTAATGGATACACACCAAACATTATAAAGACTAGAAAAGAAACTACATAACGAAAAATAAATAATCACTCATGCAAAATCTCCAAAAGATGGTAATGATAACCCAAGAAAATGCACACTAAAGCATACTGTTCCAATTTAAAAGCTTTAAATCTAGTTTTGATACATAATTAACACCAAGTAGACCAGAACTTGGCACATTCATGAACAAACAAACAAACAAATGTTATTATCTACAGGTATGGCCACGCACACAGAGGTGCAAGCTTTACCTACAAAACCAGTTTGTAGAGTTGTTGAATTAGGTCTAAACCTACATTTCTATTATTATGATTCTCAACAGAAAATATATATCGGATAACAAAATCACTTTCAACAGATCAAATATCACCAACACCACAATGGTAAGAAAAAATAAACTGTGACAAGATTTATAATTATCTTACAATATAAGCTGATTCAAAAAAAAGGCCCCTCCACTCAAATATAGAGATCACCAATGCCAATAATTCTCAAGTGCCAACTAGAGGTGATATCCTTTCAGGAGCATGTATCATATATCATACGGTTTAGTAATAATATAATTTCTACTAAAAAGTGGAAGAAAAAAAAGTGTGATCTACGACTTTATTTTTCTTTTTAAGCCAAGTGCACAACACCTACAAACATTCCTTCAAATTAACTAGACAAAAAAGACAACAAAAATAAAAACCAAATCACTTTGGTTCCTCACTTCTCCTAAGTTTATATACTATAAATTTATTCGCAGAAGGTTTCGTTCCACATTTAAGTTTGCTTTTCCAGTACAGGTATCCTAAAGAAAAATGAGAATCGGATATACTAGCAAGACATGAAAATTATACAATAAAGGATAATAGCAAAACAATATATTTATAATATCACAGGCTAGAATGCATGGAAACACATACACAACCATACCCATACACACCAAAAATACCAACAACAGTGAATACATAACGGTTTCTCAATCTCTGTATAACTCAAATAATAATTCCTTGGTGGGAAGCACAATACAGGAACCAAAATTTTAACCCTGTCAAATGATACACAAGCACTTGATTCAGCACAAAACTTTCATTATGAAATTGTAATTTTACAAACAACCATCACCATTGAACCACAACAAAAAAGTGAAATGAAATCAACCACATTAAAAAACTGTCATGAGCAAAATAAAAATTTAGTTTAAATAAATAATATATTAATATAGATAGTGAAGAGCACATAAACATGTATGCAGAAAATAGTAGGAAAGGGCAGGAAAACCTTGAGCATACGAATACTGTAATCTTCCATCCAACAATTAACATATTAAAAGGAAAAACTACTTCTAGGGGGGACATATCCATGTTCCAAATAATTCTGTTACCTCATGACTTCTTGAGTAATTCTTCAACAATTTGAGGAGAGTATCAGCTCCAAGACAATCACTTAATTGCAGAATATCACTTGATTTGGCTTTCTTAGAAGATTTCCACCCTAAGTTTGATCTTTGTTGCTGTGTACTGCATTTGAAGGCCACGGTAGGTAACTCTTCTCTAAGGTACTTGAGCCACTTTTCTAAAGCTTCTTTGGGCACAAGATCTATTATAAGGGTCAAATGATTAGCAGTCAGAAAATAGACATTTCAAATTGGAGAAAGGAGACAAATTGAATTGTGATCTGTAAACTACCAATTTTATTTAAAAGCAAGACGAGACGTTTATCAGGCCCCGATTTCATCACCATGTTCTCTATCTCTGGACAACGAGTCCCCAAGGGATCACGGGCATCAAGGACCTCCAGTAAGACATCAGAGGCTTCAATGACCTTAACCAGATCCTTGTAAAAGGCTCTATCTGAGCTATCTATGGAATAAGAAAACCAAAAATAACAAATGTAAGAACATAGGCAAGTAATTAACAAGTCAAACTAACCAAATGTCAGGAAATGACAAAAAAATACACACCTCTTGTCTTCCCTGCGGTAGCAAAATCATTTTTATTTTTTTTAGAATCCTCTGGCAGCTGAGAGTCATCTTCCTCTAGCAAACCCAATTTCCTTTTACGTGCCTGAAACAAGTATTGAATACAGTAAGTTTCTAACTGCAAGAAAAACATAAATCACAGATGAATCTCTTTTCTTCCTAGCTCTCTTTTCTTTCCACCCCATTTTGAAGTGAACATCAATCAACACTCATATAATAATACACAAACACTTTAATATATCAATAATCAAACTCCCCCACTAACATCTATCATTTATATTTATTATTTATATCCCTTCACTTCTCTTGCTTTCTCTCTCCAGGTGCAATTAGAACCCAATTGTCCATGAATAACTTTCTACAAGAACAATGTCGGACGTAAAATTTCTACCATCATAATTCATTTATTTCTTCATTTATCTTATCATGTAAAATCAATATTAAAAAAAATGCACGAAACGGGTATATCAAAGAAAAAACAATTACCCTCTCCTTGCGCTCAGCTTTCTTTTGCTCCAATTCCTCAATGGCCTTCGCTCTTCGAGCTTCAAGGGCTTTGAGTTCCTGTTCCTTGAAGGGCCAATCGTTGGGAATACCGGGATCCTTCTCAACCTTCTTCTTCCCACTCAACCGAAGCTTCTTCGCTTCCTTCGCTTTTTTTCTGTTGTGTTCTTTGACCTTCCTTATAACCTTGTACTTCTTCTTCAATGAAACCCTCTTACTCTTACTCTCTGCAACGTAATAGTTTGACCACAAGAAATAAAAAATTAAACCTTTACACCGAATCTCTAAAATCAAAAAACATTGAAAAGGATTTTCTTACTTTTGCTCTTCTTCACCATTTTGCGTTTTCTAATGAGACAGGAGAAAGAGAAGAGCGAGATATTCCCTACTCACTGGAGAGGCTGTGACTGTGTCTGTTATTAGGGTTTTGCACAAACTTATATGGTTTATAGTTATTTATATTTAAAACTTAAGGGGATAAATAAATAGTCATATAATATTAAAAGAATATAAAATAATCAACGTATTAAATTTGAAATTCAACCAAATTTGTTCATTATTTATTATTATTATTATTATTATTATTATTATTATTAATGGATGAAAAATGACTTAGTTTTAATTTTGAAATACAAAAAATAATTATTTCTTAATACTTTTAATTTTTTTTAAATAAATAATTAAATATATGATAATAAAAATATATTATAACAAAATTTTCAAATGATATTCAAAAGAATAAAAATATTTTTAAATATTAACTTAAAGCTGATTTTTCTATATATTTTGAGATTGAGTATTTCGAATTTACTTTTTTATCGATATTTTAAGTATATAATTTATAACTTTTATATTATTATAATTTTTATTACGTTTTATTTTAATAAATATATATAAAATAATTACGAATATTAAATCAATCTTATAAATAATATATTTTAAAATAAAAATTATTTAAAACAAATTATCAATTTATTTATTTAATTAAATTTTTTTTATTATTTATATACAATTTTCATTTATTATATATAATATTTTTTTCTCTTAAATGACACTAAAAACAATTAAGTAGTTATAGAAAAAATATCCTTTAAATAGTAAAACACATGCATTTATTCATATTTTATATTATTAGTTTTTTTTTTAATTCTCCACTTAATATATTTATATTTTTTTTATTTTTTATTTTTCTATTATTTTTTAAAATATATAAACTATAATAATTATATTTTTTTATATTACCTTTCTCATCTTACAAATCATAATATATATATATATATATATATAATGTTAACACTAAACGATTATAAAAAAAATTATCATTTTTATTTATAAGTAAAAACACATATACTTATTCATATATATATTTTTTATATTCACGATTATCTCTCCAATGTTTTTCCTTCAGTTATCATATTATCACACTTTTTTTCTCTCTTATTTCTATTATTTTTAATATATTTTATATTATATTTTTCCTTTTATATGTTTTACTCGTTTTTTCTCACTCTTTTTCACTTTTTTTCTCTCATTTTTTTCAAATATATGATATTAATAATTCTATATAAAATAAATTTCATTTTATAATATTTTTATACGAAAGAAAATTAAAAATATTAAAATTTAAAGAAAAAATGTATTATTTTATATATTTAAAAGATAATAATAATTAGTAAAAAAATAAAGGAAAAACAAAATAAGATTTAAAATAATATTTTAAATATTAATTATATAAAAAATGTGAACACGTAAATATTTTAATATTTATGTTTCCATTAACCATGTTAAATATTGTTTATATTATTTCTCTTTGTTTATTATTAATAATACATCATAAAAAAATTAATGAATTTATATTATATTTAAACTTAATATGTTCTTATTTCTAAGATATTATTTGAAACTAATATGTTATGATTTTGTCCTAAAAAAATATTAAGATTATAAAATGAAGATATATATAAATTATATTTGAGTTCGATTATACATGTATCAATGTCTAGTCTAGAAACGAAAGTGTCATAACAGATGACGGATCTTGATCATTGATTTGTTGGAGTTAAATAATATATTATTAATAAATAATAAATAAATATAAAAGATAAAAGAAGATGAAAGGGTAAGATAATAAAATTATAAATATATAAGAAAATATATTAAATGATCATTAAGTTTGAAATAAGCAAAATCATAAATTATATAAGAATTAGGGGAAAGTAAGAGGATAAAATTGAAATATATAAATAAATATATTAAATTATCATTAAGTTTAGTGGGTAAAAATAATTATATGAGAGTTACTAAAACTTTGGGAGGGTCACAACCTCCTCGGTTCGAAGAAGATCTTTCCTATGTCATAACCTCATTTATGTTATGATAAGATTGTTAGTATCAATTCTCATATCTAAGGTATTATTCATTTTAAAATTCTAATCTATAACGATTTTATTGTTAAAAGACACATCGGTAAATCAAAAGAGAATGATGTATATAAACTATATTTTAGGTGAACTCTTAAGTGATATTTAATTTATGTACCTAAACAAATTTGTATTTTATTAAATTTGAAATCATATGAAACCATGGTTTATAATAATATGCTTATATTTATTTAACTTATATATGACTGAATTGAAATTAGTATATGTTGAGTAAATTAATTTATATGATAAAATTCAAATAAAAAATGAGACTTTATTGCAATGAGTTATTTTTTTCTGCATTAATATAGAACTTTAACTAATTAAAAAAGTGATAAGGTAATAATAATAATAATAATAATAGAGAATTTTAGTATAAAAAAAGTTTTCATATATATATATATATATATAAACGTATTTTATATTCAATTATTTTTATTTCCTCCATTTTGTTTTGTCTTCCTTCTCAAGGGATTTTGTTTTTCTCTCTTCCCTTCTTCCTGCGTTTTCAAATCCTCTCCTCAATTTTCATTCATTCATCTATTGATTAATTATTTCAAATGATTAAGGAATTCATGTGGTATTTTGTTTCATTATCTTCTTCCACTTATGGTTCCTTTATGATAAAAGTTAGTTTTTGTTATTAAGTTTTGATTGTGATGTGAAAGATAGGGAACAAAGTTTGCATGTGTGGATATAATAGTGGTCTAGGTTGAAATATGATTTTAAGTTGTTATAAAAATCTTCCATGTGAAAATTTGATAATCCTTCACAAGAGCACGATTGAGAACAAAAGGATGTGAGAACCCCCATTTAATGAGAATTTGCATTAGTTGTTCGTTCATATGGGTGTAAAAGACACTATGAAATGTGTTTGTTTAAGTAGATTTTCTAGTTAATTAGAAAAAGTGATCATCCGAAAATTTATAAATAATTACAAAAATCATCTTAATAAAATAAATATAAGTATAAATTTATATTTAAGAATGTCATTCAAACGAGATATCCTTAAGTAATATTCCTTTTTTATTTAACATATGTTTACTTTTTTAATTTTTTATTTAAATAGTTTAAATTTTGTTTAACCATAATTATTATTATACTTTACATATTTTTAATACTTTAATTCTACTTAATATATATATATATATATATATATATATTTTTTTATTATTAGATAATGTAATTACATCATCTTAATATGTAATGAAAAAATTGTTTGAATTGGAATCATTATCACAATTAAGTTTAACCCTCATGTAGGTAGAAGTACAAGGACTAAAACATTGAAGAAATACATATAAATTTTACTATATATAAACATGTTAGTTTTGTACAAATAAGAAAAAAGTGGTATAAAATACGAATAACTTATTCTAACATACCGACATAGGATAATAAGTTAATGAATTTAATCTTATTTCATCTCTCGGAGAAACGATAAAATACTTCCATCTCCAAATTTTATTCAGTTATTTTATTTTATTTATAACTTATATGTATAGATAATTATGTTTGACTATATCTAATAACAATAACGGGATCATTGCATATGGATAACAATATTTTTTTATAAATAAACACTAATCATTAACTTTAAGAACATATTTACAAAATCAGCATAAATCTCCCAAGATTTTTTAATTCAACACAAAGTTAGAAGTCCACAGTAATTTCTAGATGCTGGGAATTGGTGTTAACAAAATTTCTACTATTTTGCCTATTTTCAGCAACAAAAGATAAATATAGAATCTAAAAAATTAGCATGCTGCTAATACACTTTACAACACATAATTCTAAACTATCACCTGAATGACTATGAGATAACATTACCATAATCCTCATCTTCAGTATCATCATCATTATTAATTTCATTATCAGTGTCATCATCATTATTAATTACACTGACGTTATAATGTACATCATGGTCATCATCATAGTCATCTTCTTCGTCATCAATGTCAAGATCTGCAGTTTCTGTTTCCCTATTGACATCAAGAACATTATGTGAGGTCCAATCAGGAGGAAAGGTCTTTTGTAGGGCTTCTGTTAGTTGCCCTCCTGTTCTCTCAATCTTGCGTAAACATCTAGACCAATGAACCGCAGTTCCCATGTCAACAGTCACCTCAGACCTTATCATCTCTCCACACACAGCCAAGAGGCCAGTATAAGCGTATGATTGAGCAAAGGTGGCTCTTGATAACAAAGATGTCACAAGACAATGGTACACTGCTTTGTCTGGTTTCAATCCAGCTAGTTTCATCTCTTCAAAGCAACTTAAAGCCTTCTCAGGCATAGAAGCACGTGCCCAACCATTTATTAGAGTGGTGTAGGTTTTTAGGTTTGGTTTTATACCAGATGCTTCCATTTCTTGGACAATTTCAGTTGCTTTCTATCAGGAAGAAAATAAAAATTGATTATCAGGTGATATAAATAAGTTACCATGATTTGATAAAAAGTCTTGGAATCTACCATCCAAAACCATGCCCTAAGGCGGTTAAGGATAAACGTGTCTTTATTCCCCTTATAGCAAAAAAGAAGAAGACTTTTTTAGGTTGAAATTAACTTATGTATCTAAAAATTAACTTATATATAAGCTAGTTTTTTCTTTCTTCTTTTTTTTTTCCAAAAATATTTATGAAGAAGTTTATCCAAACAGATAAAAAATTAAGATCAAACAGATAATTGAAATGGATTTCATAACATGTAAGGATTTCATACACAATTCATCGTTATGCTAAATGATAATGAAGATGCATGAAATGAAACACTTACCCTCACTTTTAGTCAACTTTAAGTAATCACAAACTTAATAATAAATATTACCATACCTGCATATCCCCAGCTTTACAACATGCATTTATAAAAGACGTGTAGGTGTGGATGTCTGGTCGAACTCCATCTTTTCTCATTTGTTGCATCAAGTCTGCAGCCTCCCAAACATCACCTCTCCGAGCCCAGCTAAGAAAGTAAACAAGGTTACTAAAATACAAAGAAGGTTGTGAAGCCACTAACTGAAAAATTAAAGAACCCAAGTATGTACACATGGAAAAATATAACTGTGTGTGTGTATAAGCAAATGTTAGACAACAGGAAAATTTCAATGTTGTCAAATGCAATTCATTCATACCCATCAATTAGTATGTTGTAGACAAAAGTGTTTCTTGGAATCTTTTTTGCAGTCATTTCTTTTGTGACTGCAAGGGCACTCTGCATTCTGCCTGCCTTGCAACATGCCTTCAACAATGCTTCATAGGTATAGACATCAATCTCCAGACCCTCATTCCTCAACGCTGTAAAGTACTGAAAGGCCTTTTCAGTATCACCCAGTGAAGCATAACCTTGCATAAGAGTTGTATATGTATGTTCATTTGGTCCCACGCCTGCCAGATTCATTTCATCCAATATTGCTACAGCTTTGGCAATCTACAACAAAATTTAACATTATTTACAATGTTACATAATGAATGAGGATCTAATGATCCACGCACTAAAACAAAAAAAACTAACAGAAACATCCCTGTATATCTAACAGATTGTAATTCAATAATACTAAGGAAGAACTCAATCAAAAGATAACTACGGCTTCGATAAGGTGTGTTTTTTTAAGAAAAGACAGAACAGTTGCTGATAAAATTTAATGAAACCAAGGCATCATCACTTTGGGTCCTGTAGGCTCACAACCAGGGTAGGTATACTTGGATTGAACCACACGACAACATCTCCAAGAGAGCAATTTGTTTGTGGTAAAACTAATTAGTCAATGTCATAAAACAGTGTTTTAATGCAACCATATTAGAACTACTGTGGCAAGTCCTGATTGAATTAGGAAATCTTTTAAACATTCAGACTTCATAATTCTATAAAATGCATAACAAAACAAAGACAACTAAATAACTAAAGGATAAAACATAGACATGGCACCTTGCCACTCCTCCTCAGGTTTTCAATCAGCAATGTGGATATATTGTGAAAACTCGCATCTTTTTTATCATTGAGAAATCCTTTTAGCATTTTTCATCATCAATGGTTAACATTTATTAAATTGTTTCCCCAATTCTTTCAAGCATGCAAAAGTACTGAAATCTTAAAACAGTAAGAGGCAACCGAAGCCAATACATGCGATAGCTGTGCCAATTTTAAATTCAGAGCAATCAATTAATTAAAAACTTTCCAGCTCTCAGGACTTCAAAATATAATTACAAAAAAAAATTAAGGTGAATTTACATTCATTTCTATAAAGATGCATTATAACTACTATATATATTGTATATATATGTGTGTGTGTTTGTTTATTTAGTGTACTGAAGTTAGATCTTTGGCTCATTATTTATTTTTTGAAAATAGAATAAATAAACATATAAAGATAAGAAAATTTAACGACCAAGTGATATAATTTGTGTATTATAATAAACAATTGTTTGTCAGCCACAAGTTACCTGCCGCTTCTCAACAAGGCCAAGAATCAGAGCATTATACGTGTGTACAGTGGGAATGCAGCCACTCCTCCTCATCATATCAAATATCTCCAGGGCTCTCCTCATCTCACCAGCTTTTGCAAAACCATGTATAATGGGCAAAAATGTGCGCGTGGTAGGTCTATGCCTCTCCTTCTGCATTTGCTTCACCATATGAATGGCACGATCCATATTACCCATTCCACAAAAAGCTGTTACAATGTTATTGTATAGAACTACATCGGGCTTCAAACCATCTTTAGTGAAGTCTTCAAAAATGGAGAATGCATTAGCCCAATCTTTTAACTTCAAGAATCCATTGATCAACATAGAGTATGTCTTCATGTTATGTTCTATGCCACTCATTTTCATCATTTTGCTTATCTCCAATGCTTTAGAAACTTTCCCTATCTGTAAAGGAAGATAAAACGTATTAGCATCAACAAGCTAGAATTACAAATATAAAACAGATTGGACGTGATGGACAGTTAATTAGCCGCAAATAAATTGTCTGTCAAATATTGAGTTCATGTGCCATGCAATGGATTTGGTCCTGAATTCAAAAAATTAACATTGGATCGTGGTATTTCAAATATAGTCTTAATAACTGTTCTGACAATATTAGAAGAAAGAAAGGTTTAAATTCTCAGAACATTCATAGTTTTCAAGAAAATAATTCGAGACAGTGAAAACTAATTCATAACAGAGTGCAAGTATCAAGCTGAGGATTAATAATTGATAGCACAGACTTATTTAAGAGATAAATAAATGGATTGATAATTGCAGGAGAGCTTATTTTTCTTCATCAGAATGAACAACTATTGTTCAAATTGGCAGATTGACGCTTGATGTTTAATCCTGAGAGCTCTTGCCAAACATCCAAACTCTCACTGCTTTCCCAGTCCCAGTTTGCCTATTCCCTTGTATTATTGTATTCCCTAGAACATCATCAAATAATTGATACTTTCATATATTTGAAATTTTTGAAATTTATATTAATCTTAATATGAAGGGTGCCTTAAAAAATGTGAACTTTATTGATATGGTCTACATAATAAGACAAAACCCATGAGGTGTCATATCACTCATCTTTAGGGAAGGGAAATGTGGTTCAACTATGTTAGCCGAATTTGGTATTAGTTCACAGCACTGTAAATGGTGGGATAACATACATTCTTTTGTAAATTCTGATTTTTCTGAGATAGATTTCAACGTTCTTGTTGTAGCTGTTCTTATTGGGTTTTAGTCTAGTCCCCGGTGTTATTTTTTCTCATTTATTTTATAGATTGGGATGCTTCAGATGATTGTTGTTAATTGTGGTGTCAGGCGATGGCAATTTACATTGTGATGCTTTAGCACTACCACTTTATTAAAAAAATATATATGATAGAAACTTCAATAAAATGTTCGCATGAAAACCAGGCAGTAAATACTGAAAGTGTAAATGACCAAATTAATGTAGCATGTGAAATATATCTTACCTTGGTGTAAAGATTAATAAGACAACCATAGCTGACAACTGAGGGAGAGAAACCACATTCCTTCATCAAAATAAAGAAATATTTTGGCGTGATTCAATGTGTAGAGAGCAACAATGCATAGGGGTTTACCATATTCAAATAAATCAGTGACTATATGAGTAATAATATAACACATGCTAAATTAAAAATAGAGACACTTGTGTGAAGAACCAAAACTTAAAGAAACGTGTATACTTGATGCAATAACTCTAAACTATAATAAACGATTGGAAATTGTTTACCACCATTTAAAAAAAAAAAAACTACAAATATCAATGAAAAAAAACATATCCATAGTGGCAGATAAATTGCCTTCAAAAACAAGCTGGAAAATGTAAAAATATAAATCTCTAATATTCAAAAACAGGTTGAATTGCCATAGTCAACAGCAAGCAGCTGGAAGAGTACACAACAAACATCAACCAAGCTAAATGGCCAAATGTGGCCAAGACTATAGTTAGCAACCAATTGCCAAACAGAACTGTAATACAAACAGTACAAGGTAAAGAGAGAAAAAGGAATTTCTAAAAATTAGCAGAAGCATAGTAACTCAAATGGGAATAAGCTAATAGTGGCAAAAATAAGATAAAAACAGAACAACGGAACTGGACCATACAGACAGCAAAGAAACCAAACAAGGGAACGTAAAAAGACAAATACACTGCCAAACAAGGCAAACCAAGGCAGAGAAGTGACTGAAATAACAAGTGAAAGGTTGAGAGACCACAAAAAATGGGGAGGTGTGCTAATCTACAATGGTTGCCAGCAAAGGTGACTGAAGATGAGCCATGACATACTGATGTGAAAACCAGCTGCAGGAGAGTGGAAAATGCATGGCTGGCTGCTAGATTTTTTGTAACACTTCAAGTCCTAAAAGATCATTTGATTGAATACTGCCAATGTTGAGAAACAGATGATAGCTGCAGTGGGAAGAATATCATGTTGCGGATATGAACAAAGTTATAAAACCACTAAAGCACTTATGTTAGCTTGAAAGGTACATGTCAGCAGTGGGTAATAGAAAAGCTAGCGTACATGCAAAAAGCATTGGACAGACTTTACCCTTTTGAAGAGAATCAATCCTACACAATCTGGAATTTTTATGTTTAAGCCATCCTATGGCATTCAATGTTCTTATGGAGGGGGACAATTTCTTTAAATGATAAAATTGGTGACAGCACAATAAATACATAACATACCAAAATTAGAAACTAGAAAGACTAATGTAATGATGATGAGGATGATAAAACTACTACCGAGCTATACCTTTAGTCTGTCAAACACAATCAAGCATTTTTCTTCATTACCAATCATTGTATAGCCATCCATCATGGTATGATATATGTCAATGGGAGCATCTATCCCTTGTTCTTCCATCTCCCTGACCAAGGCTTCAGCTCGATCCATATTGCATGTTTGACTGTAAAATGCATCGGGGTATCAAAATCAACCAGAGAAACAAAGGAAGAATATTGAAAAGAAATGACAATCATTTGAAAATGAACAAAAATTGGAAATTTACAAAAACAACAATGTAAATAATTGAGTGGATGTTTTCAACTTTTAACCTAACGTTGATTTAATTAACAAACTTGATCTGAAATTTGTTGGGTTTAGTAAACATTGCTACTTATATCATATTCTAATCTTTGAAACTTAGGGTAAAGCTGACTTTTGGTCCCCATTTAAAAAAAAAAAAAAAAATTATCATTTTAGTCTCTCAAATATAAAAAATCTGGTTTTAGTCCTTAAACACTAAAGGGATTAAAATGAATTTTTAAAAACTGCTTAGTCCTTCAAGTTCAGTATTTACATACTAAAACCATATTTTTTCAAATTTCAAAGACTAAAATGAACTTTCTTTTAAGTTCAGGAACCACAACAGGGTTCAATCCAAATTTCAAGACTATAAGCATAATCCAGCTAAAGGTTACACAAAAGAAAAAAATGGAAATGACACAAGTAAACTTGGAACACAATTCTCCATTTAGAAATGATCTACCGCATACCTACAACAGATGACAATTGAAGGTCTTGTATCACACAAATAAAAATGAACCCTTGAAAGAAATATGAATGCTTACCAGTGTGCATAAATTATGCTCCCATAAATGACAGCATTCAAAGATGGGAGTCTCTCCTTGGCCTCCTTAAACCAGCGATCTGCAGCACTTCCAAAACAACATCAAATAGTTATCTCCATGGTATAAAAAACTATGCATTACTCTTAGTCCAATTATGAACAGGCCATCAAATTACTTCCATATAAGGAAATAATCAAAACTTTTACACAAGCACCAGGAAATGTGAGGGTGGGGTTATTTAAGTATGAAAAGACAGAACTGAAGAAGAAACTAGCAAATTCAAAGATAATCCAAAAATCCAATCACTTAGACATCAGAGAAAGACAACTAATTCAACCATCGCATTACGTCAGTCTTCACACTATGGTGGTTGGAGGTGAGAAGACCAAGTGATCTCAGCAGTAAGTGTTGTAACTTTGTAGTTTACCAGGTTTCTATGGGGAAAAAATGAAGGGTCTCACAAATGAGGCAGTTATTAATGCCATCTAACCTCAATAATCAACTTCCACGATAAAGTATACAGGTTTACCAGGCTTCCTTATATACAGGGAAAAGAAGGCTAGAGTCTAGTGGCAATCAGTTGTTACAATTTCATTCTGCATTAGTTGACTAGCAGTTTTGAAAGTCTTCTTTATTGTTTGGATTCTCTTTCTCCATTACATAATAAAAATACAAAGCTATTCCAGAAAAAAAAAAAAAAAAAAGGTACCGAAACTATCATTTCAAGATTTAGCCCAGTGGCACTGAACTTACCAAAATGATAATTGGACTGGTCACACAAGAGATGCACAAGAATCATTCTTTGCACTTTTCTTTTTTTTTCCCCTTTGTCATTGGTATCAAAGCTCTACAACCAAGTAGTCTGAATTGAATCCTGGGTGGCTACATTCTTTATAAATTTAAAATAAAAAATTGAAAATTTCAGCACACTTAAAGTGGGCATGCATATTAACCATACATCAAGCCCAAGGTAATGGGGCAAGTTAGAGACAAAAAACGACCATATAGTCATTTCAATGCCCTCTTCCTTCACCTAATAGCTTAACTATTAAGGATAGTGAGTACGCGACCAAAAGAAAGACAGACGAACTAACAAGTAGAAACAATACTTCAATAAAAAGATACAATAATGGCACAATTTATCTGGTTTACTTACTCGGCATTGCCCATTCTAGCAAATCCTCCCACGATTATACTGTATGTCACTATAGTCATTTCAATGCCCTCGTCCTTCATCTTTCTAACACAATGTAAAGCTTCTTCCATGTCTCTACCAACTGCATAAGCATGAATCAGACTGCAAACATTTAACATGTATTATTATTTAAGTCAGATGAAACAATAACGACAATGGCTCTATTTTTCATAAAAGGAATTAAATTTTGAAGAAAAGAGCACAAAAAATAGGGATAAACTATCCTTAAACCAAAGAATAATAAAAAAATGGAAAAACATAACAAATAAATAATTCCAAATGGAATCCCTAAAGAAGCATGTTAACAAACTCTGTATCATGAGGAAGAATTCGTAGGGGATTGTAGCCCCAAGTAGGCAGGAAAGATATGACTAGAGGAAACTAACTTCCAGTAGGGCTAACGGGAAATTCAGTTGTTAGCTAAAGAGAAGTGATATCAGTAATTATAATAAATTGGATCTGAACCTGTTCCTATCCATCAGAATTCTTGAGTTAAACACCAACTAGGAGAGAGAAAAAGGAGGTAAAGATTTAAAGAGAACTTCCTTTGAAGGGTGAAAATTTGAAATAACAGACACTAAACAGTTAATGTTCTTTCTCCCCAATCAATATTCAATAATATTCAACTTTGCAAAGAAAAGTCAATTATTCACATGTTCATCTCTGAAAAGATAACACCTGATAGTCAGAAAGTGGTCATTGCTTAAAAGCTAACAATTTAAGCTGATGCTGATATTCAAATCATACCCACAAATATAGTACAGAAATTTTGTTTAAAGAATTTACCTACTGTACACATGTGAAGAAGGCTCTATTCCCCTTGCTCTCATACTCTCAAATGTTTGTCGTGCATGATGCATGTCTCCTCGTCGTGCATAATATTTAACCATTAAACCATATTCTTTTCTAGCAGGCTGAAAAATTAATGACAAAAATGAATCCAAGAACAATTACTTAACAATTCAAATTACAGAAGATGCACATTAAATTTGTCAAGCAATCTTTTAGTGCATACACAAAACATTGTTACTATCTTCTCTGAAAATAAAAGGGAGCATTATTATAAATCTACCAGTATTAACTTTTACCTGAAATAGCCAACGTTTTGATGCTCTCTTTGATAATAATTAAAGGTAAACAATAATTTTTAACCAATAACAACAATTAGCCAAGACTTTAGACACATACTTTCATATACATCTGTGTGTTAAAAACCAAACGGAACAGGCTGGGATAACCGAAGAAAATCAAGAAACCTATTATCTATCATGTCAAGTTACCCTGTAGAGTCCCGCCTATTCAACAAGAAAAATACAAAAAATAAATGTCTAAGCAATTGTCCTTCAAATACTGCTGAAACTAGACTCCACAAAATGTTTGTCTACAAAATTTCACCTTTAATTCCACACTCATTCATTTATGATTCTAATATCAAATTTCCTCTTGAATTTCTAAACCATCATATTCCAGCCCCCGTGATTTAATATAACTTTTACCAATGATCTCACTGGTGCAATTATTTAGGTACACAGGACGCATAATTCATGTTCGAAACTTGCAAATAACAATTGTGGGAAGTTTGGTTTCAGAAAACATTTTGTTTTTACTTTATTTACTACTTCCAGAGGGATGTATATGAACACAGAACAACTTTTCATGATTTTTTTACTTTCTTTTACTGATTTAACTTCTTCAAAGGATCATGAAAAGTCAAAATACCAGTCAGGGTTACACTTTAAAAACCAACCAATTTAACTTTACTGAAAAAACTACACAAGCAGCCAATGAATAAAGTATCCATTTAATCCTAAAATATTAATCTCTCTCATGTAATCCTTAAGGTAAACAAATTATATAGAATGTCTCGAGTATTACAAAGCATACTGAACAGAACAGTCACCAAATGTAGAAAAAAATCCTTCAATTTAGAACTTGGAGGTTAGTAAATTATACACTTTACATTTTTATTGTAAAGGGTTGTCATCTAGTAAGAGTGTTAAGCATTTGTGACTTAAATTGATGGATATTCGTCAGGAAAAATATTTGTCCATGTTAGTTAGAAGATTATCAAAACAGTGTTCGGATATATTCTATTTGCAGAAAAATTGCATTCTCAATCTTACACACTTTTTTCCTGTCAGAAGAACCTAATTCACACATGATAGAGGACAACCTACACTTTACAAGTCAATTTTGCAAGATCAAGTCTAAACTCACATTCTAATATTGTATTACAAAGTGTCTAAGAGAATAAGTTAGGGCAACTCTCATCTTAAAGATTTGTAAAGTTGAAATTATTCTAAAATTCAAAATGTATTTCCAGAATCCTTGAATGCTATCCAAAAGACATTTTTAGAGATCTATAATATTCTTGAGAATGTAATTTGTCATAATGCAACAGCATAACATGAAACAAACCCCTATATAAGAACACACATATAGAGAGAGAAGATGAGGAACCTTCTTAATTCTCTCGAAGGCTGTCACAACGGCCTGCCAATTCTCAGGCTGGGTTTCCAGAACTTTCTGGAACCCCTTCCTCGATCCGTCCCTCTCCTCGTGCCATGTGGACGGATACTCTCCCTTGTCCCCATTCCCTTTCAACCACCGCGCCCGCTCTTGACTCTTCTCCCGCATCCTCTTCCCGTCGTCCAGCTTCACCGTCAGCACTCTCCCATGGAACTCCACGCCGTCGAACTCCACCGCCCGCATCGCCGCCTTGTCCGCCGCCTCGTCCTCCCCCTCGTATATGACGAACGCGAACCCCGCGTTCCGCTCGGTCTCGTGGTGCCCCTTGATCACAATCACGCTCCGTATCGCCCCGAATTGCCGGAAGAACTCCGCCACCTGGGGCTTCTTCACCCACGCCGGAAGGTTCCCCACGAATATCTTCCCCGGCTGCCGGAAATCGATTTGGGAGTCGGAATTCGAGCCTTCATTGCCTCCGCTATCTTCCGCGACGGTCTCGGTTTCGACTAGGGGCGGTGGCGGCGGAGGTGGGGGAGGAGGAGGAGGAGGAGGAGGGGGAGGGGAGAGTTTGCTTGTGAGCCATAGCTTGTTGGCGAGGGGGTTTGAAGTTGGAGTGGTTTTGAGGGGTTTGGAGGGGCGGCGAGGGGTGGCGGAGTTGTTGGAGTCCGAGGGCGGTTTGAGAGAGAAGGAGACGGTGGTGGTAGTAGCGGCGGAGGGCGGGTGGTGTTTGGAGGAGAAAATGGTGGTGTTGGTCTGTATGGATAAGTGAGAGGTGGAGAAACAGAAGGTTTCCATTGTCATCGTTTCTCAAGTGTCATGGGTAAGGGTAATACATTGTGTAAGATATTTATTATAAAATGTTTAATAGTAATACAAAATAAAAAATTTACTGACCTAAAAATGTTATTTCCCTAAAAATATTGCTTTTTATAAATTCCAAACACATTATAGATAATTAAATATTGTTAATCAATTCTAAGTAACTTGAAGGTTATAATTAATTTTGATTTTCTTCTTATAAATATTCTGAGTAAATGATTATAACTTCTTAATTATTAGATTAAGTAAGATATAACTTCTTAACTTTTCATCATCATTATTTTGTATTTTTGTTGAATTACATGACACTTCTAATTCAATAAATATAAAGGTTATGAATTTAGATTATTTTTTTAAAAAATGCAGAGTTTAATATTTTTAGTTTAAATTATTATTTTAAATAATTTATTGTGAATTAACATTTCACTTTTTAAAAGGTTACGTGTTTTTTTTTTTGCATTATTCTAGTTTTTCGTTTTTTTTCTTGAATCCTTTGTTTTCTAGCTATTTTTTTTGTTGAAAGATTTTTAAATTTTAAAGAAAAACATTGTTAATCTCAATATTTCAAGCCATACAAAAAATGGAAGAAAAAAATATATTTTACAATTTATTGGTTTTCAATTTTCATTTTATTGGTTTTTTGCATTATTTATCACTTTTCAAAATACCATAACAAAAAAATAAATAAGATTTAGGAAATTAGAATCACAAAATAAAATCAATATATCAAAACGTATAAAAAAAATGACTATTAATTAAGATTGGTCACAAAGTTTAGAATTAAAATTGTCAATTACCCTTTTCAAATTTAAGCAAAAACGGTTAAAATCGCGCAGCGGAATGTTTGTGTTTACGGACAAAAATCAAGAGGGGGTGAATTAGTTTCTTAAACAAAAATTAGGGTTTTAAAAATTTCTCCAAATTTCACCGATTAAATTGTTGTGTAAAATAAATAGAGTAAGGATAGAATATTACACAATCGATTTATACTGGTTCGGATCAAAAGACCCTACGTCCAGTTGCTAATCACTCAAACAGAGGATTAACGCTATCACTATAATCATAATTATACAATTAGATTACAAATAAAAAGATAAGGTAAATAATACACCTCTCTTGAGTCACACAAGAGATGAACACCTCCTTTGATTCCTACAAAGGATGAAGAACAATTTTTCCTAGAGACGGCACAACCTACAATCCACTAAGAAAACCCACTTAGTGATTCTTATCGCTTCTAGCCCACACTAGGTTTCAAAAGTCCATTTTTCCTCTAACAAACAGTTCTCTGGCAGTCACAGCTCTCAAATTTTGTTTGAAAAAGGTTGTTCAATTTGCAGAGAGCCTTAAAGAACCTTAAGTAGAAAGATTAGGGTTTGGGAATTGGGGATTTTCGAAAACAGATGAATTGGGAATAGGGTTTTCAAAACTTGGTCCAATTTTGAAATTTAAAACACATATCTGACTGAAATAATCGATTATCTTAAGTGTTTTTCAGAGTCAAATTCGCAGGGAACCCAAAACAGCTCAGTTTAATCGATTAACTGGGCATTTAATCAATTAACAGTCCAATTAATCGATTAACAGGGGGTTTAATCGATTATTCTAGAGAGCAGATGCTGAAAATGGTTTTCTCTCTGTAATAATCGATTATCCTGTCATTTAATCGATTAATCCAATATGTTTTTGATAAAAATGAGTTTTTAGAATCTTTAAAGAGTGGACTATGTGTTGGGTATCATAGACTCAAATATTACAAACTCAAAATCATAAAAACAGAGTTATTACATAACATTACAAGTCTTCAAATCTTTAAGTCATTTATTCTTGAATCATCATCAAAATCTACAAGCTTCATATCCTTGTATATTCAACATTCATATCCTTGTATGTTTCAACGAAACCTTTTTTTTTAACCAATAATCCAGATAAAAATAATAAAATATTGGTAATTAATAATTGAAAAGTGAAAATATAAATTTAAAAGTTATTAATATATAACACAACATTTTAAATTGAACTCATTTTCAAGTTTAATATTTTTAATTTTATATATTATATTATGCGACCATTTAATACAAATTATTATAAAATAACACAAAATAATTGTAGACCCCAAATCTTGCCCGACTTCAAAATAAGAGCAGAAGACCTCATATTCAAAGATGGACAAAGCCTAAAAAGCCACTAGGAGAGACTATTAGGCCCCATATTAGAGTAGGAAGACTTTTCTGTACAAAAATAAGGATTTTTGCCTTCAGGGGTCAAGACCGTCGTCTCGCTTTTCGGGACGGCCGTCTCGATCAATGGTAAGTCGAGACCACCGTCTCGTTTGGCGAGACGGTCGTCTCGCCACTTACCATTGGCGAGACTCCCCTCTCGTTTGGCGAGATGACTCTCTCGCCATTTGGCAAGTCGAGATTGCCGTCTCGCCAAACAAGATCGTCGTCTCACCACTTATTAAAGTCGAGACCGTCGTCTCGAATGGAGAGATCGTCATCTCGACCTTGCTAGTCGAGACCGCCATCTCGACCTGACAGACACGAATCCCTATAAATAGGGGGCGCTCTCCCCTTCATTTCACACTGCTCTTCCACCTTTCCTTCTGCAATTTCTTAAAATTCTTCTTTTAGAGCCCCTCCGAAGCATTTCTGGAGTTTCTGAGTGTTTTAAGAGAGTTTTTATAGCATTTTCGAGAGAGAGTTCGACGTTGTAAGAGCGAGGGGCTGCCAAAACGCACCCTATTTTTTACGAGAATTAATCAAAGCTTGCTCTGGAGATTTCTTCACTCTCTCCCTCTCTTTTATTGTCCTTTTTACTTACATTAAATTGTGCAATAACTATTAGGGTCATGTAGTCATTATTTTTTAAATTCCACAAATAAAAGGGTAAAAGCGTCATTTCAAAAGTTTATTTACAAAATAACCGGTCCATTACAGGGAACCCGAAAGGGGCGTCGTATGGGAGCTAATATCTCCCTTACACGTATCTAACTCCCTTACCTAACTCTGGTTTTAACGATCAAAGTTGGTTTTTCTTAAAAAACCAACGCCTTTTTCTTTCCTTTTTCGATGTTTCTGGTAAAAATATCGGTGGCGACTCCATAAGAACCCTCTCAATCTTGCTCTTAGGTCAGCCCGATTATCGGACGATCTAAGAACTCCTTTTTGAAAACCTCGCCCTTAGGTTCAGCCCGGTTATCAGACAACCTAAAGACGGTATAACTCCACCCACACAAAACGTGAAAAATGGAAAGTCGGAACCATCGCGTGGCTCAACCGCCTCTTTTTTACGACGGCGACAATAATTAAATAATATAAAAGTAAATATATTTTTATGGAAATATTTTGAAATAATTTTGAAAGGTGGGTAAAATAAAATTATTTAAGTTAAAGATACACGCCTACAACACTCATATATTTTAGAAATTGATATTAATAATACAATTTTCTCTTTCAATGGAAAGAAATATTGATTATAAACCAAACACGATAGTCAAATTTTGTGATTGTTTTTATCAATGTTATAAATTAAAGTTTAAATATTAATCTTTAATATGGGAAGTGAAAAAGAAAAATTAGCTTATGTTTTGAATTCTCCTGTTTCCTTTGTCATGAGCCAATTTGGTTACGCAACACTTATAAAAAAACAGGAACCTTGATTTAGATTGATGCATATGATCAATAATTATACAAAACTAGGAGTAGATAGGTTAGCTAGTGTTACTTCGTTTTAACCTATTTTACTTAGTCTCATCAATTTCACGGAACATAAGACGGTTCATTTATTGGTTTGTTGTAAAAAATATTTATATATTAAAATTAAAATAAAAAATTACAATTAAAATATTATATTTTTAATGTTTATATTATTAAAATATATTATAATATTATAATTTAAATTATAAAAATTAATTAAATTTAAATTGTTAATTATAATTAATTATTTTAATATAAAAATATATTTTTTTAATTTATTTAATAAAAATAGTAAGTAATAGATAAAAAATTTAAAATTATTTATATAATTAAAAATATTTAAAAAATACATATAAATGAATTTATAGAAAATATTATTGACGAAGGCTTCACCCATCTCATTTTTTATAGATCAGATACTATATAAATTAAAATAAAATAAACTGACCATTTATATTTATATATATATATATATATATATATATATATAATAATATGGATAAGTTAAAATAAGTAATTTTAAAGTTTAGGATAATTATAACATGAAAAAATATCTTACTTATTATTTTATTATATAATTTTGATAGGTTTAAGCGTAGCCACATTATGCATGACACTAGCTGAAGTGAAGTTGTACTATTTGATAGAACTGTAGTACAATTTTGTGAGAAGAAGAGAAAAAATCTATTTGATTTAATTGTAAATGAAATGCTTCGTAGTTCTTGTTTTTAATGATTTATAAAATTAATTTAATTACAGTTAAATGACTTATTTATGTTCTTTTTATGTTAGAATAATGCGTTTTACCACTGTCCATAAGATTGAACTCATTTTTAGAAAAATATATGTTTTTCAAGGTTGAGATTAGTCAATAAAATACGATTCAAAATCACAAACTTGTCAAAAAAAAAAACTAATAATAAAGAAATAAGTGGTCAATTTAAGAGAAAATACTTAAGATATATTTAATTATAATTTGACATTTAATATATATATATATATATAATTATTTTTCACTTAAAATAGTAAAATTAAAATTTTTTCTTTTATTTTGACTATTCATTTTTTATTTAATTTAAATAAAAAATTCGTCGTAAATTTTGTGTAAATATTTATTAAAAAAACAATGACAATTAAATAATTATTTTAAATTTAATATTATAGATTTATGGATTTAATTTTTTTAAAAAATAGATTAATTATATTTAAACTTTTACTATTTGATATTTATTTTTATAAATAATTTTTCTGATATTTTTCCTAATATTTTATAATATATTTTTA